CCATCCTTATATGGGATCTGAACCCGTGGCCTTGGTGTTATCAGCACGATGCCTGTTATTTCCTTCTCTTCTTTGATTGCTCTGGCTAGTTCTTCCAACACTATGTTGAATAGGAGTGGTGAGAGTGGGCATCCTTGTCTAGTTCCTGTTCTTGTGACCAACATTTTTTTATCAATTCACTATGGCATGGTCCTACAATCTAATTACTCTTCAAGGCCCCATTTTTCAATTACCATAATAGGATTTCCCACACCCTCAACAGTCACAGTTGAGATTAAGTTTTGGGAGGACATTCAACCCAAGGCCTCATTTAGGAATCCAGCTGAGCTCCTTATTTCATATAACCTTCCCTTTACTTCAATATATTATAGAAGACATTGAGTGGAATTTTTCTTACTGCCCCGAATTGGTGACTAGGGTCCAAAGCTGGGACAAGGAAGCACTAGGTACCACACATTCTAGAGAGAGTTGCTAGTAATTTGGGATCAGACACCCTCTCCAGGGTTTACAAAGAGGTAGCAGAACTGGCCCTCCTACTGCTAACTCAACCCATTCGTCACCACCCAACCTCCATTCCCAGTCTATGTAAGGTACAAGATGACTTAATGGAAGGAGTCCTGAGCCTGGCAGGGAGTACATTCCCCTCTTCTCTCCCCAAATCAAGCAAGTGGGTATCAAAGAGAACCTACATGGAGGAGAGACTGTTTTCTCATTCGCTGGTTAGACTATCTGTTTAGACAGTGGACTGTTCGTCTGTGTATCTGTCTGAGAAAAGGAAAGTTTATTAGAGGTGGAAATGCAGAGTGAGGGAATAATGGTAGAATAGTCTGTATCCTTCTGTTTGGCTTAGCAAGGATATGTGAGTTTCTGAGATCAAAGGGACACTGAGGAAGATAGCTGGGCTTGAGCCATCTTGCTGGTAATCCATCCAAAAGAATAGAAGCTAGGAGAGTTAGGAGCAGGATCGTCTATATTAGAGCACAACTCAGTGGAGAGGCCCCACAGGACCTTCTAAAGAACTTACACAAGTGCCCCATAAGAAAGACAGCATTTTCACATCTGCCAAACAACAGCCTGGGATGGCCTGTCATCGACAGAAGACAGGGGTTTCCAATAACTACCCTATTAAATAAAGAGACAGTTGTCCCTTTCCTGCTTGCCCTCCTCCTAGTTCCCAACCACCAAAGAGCTAGAGCCCTTCTAGAGAACCTTCCAGAGAACTAGAGGAGGAAGAGGAGAAGCTATAGAAGGGATTATATTCTCCTCCCCACTTCAGGTTCCTTAAGCTGTGGCTTAAACCTGGACTAGAAGAGGGGAGGAGATGAGCTCTGCATTGGATCTGAGACTGAAGTTTTAATTTGGATTGGGCTGTGTTTTTAAATAACCGAAAGGGAGCAGTGCATGTGGACTCTGTTCATGATGTTGTGAAGAGATGCAAAAGAGACAATTGTCACGGCACAGATGAAGACTGTGATGGGGTGGGAGATTACATTTATACCTAACCAAGTTCCATGCTCAACAGGTAAGTTAAATTTATCTATCACTAAATCCATCCCTGAATCTGTTGTCGCATCTCAGAAGAATTATTTCTTTTCCTAAAGTGAATCCCTTCATCTGCGCTCTTGTTTATCCATTGAAAAAACATTTATTTGACATCTAAAATGTACTGCCAGTGTTTAGGTACAAAGATTAAGTGTGATAAAATTCCTTCCCTCATGGAATACACAAAGACAGTGGGGTAGGTAGAAAGTAAGTGTCTATTTTAAAACCAGTTAAGGATTAAAAATGATTAAGTATTAAATTAAGGATTAAGAAAAGTACCCTGGGAAGAGTAATTAGAAGGCAAAGAAGAGTAATAAGAAGGCAAAGCACATCAACAGTACAATAGATAAAGTATTGTATATTCACACAGCAAGTAGAATTAATAATCGACAATTACACAAAGCAATATAGTCTCACAATATCATTGAGCAAAAGCCAGACACAAAAGAGTACTATTGAATGAATCCATTTAGATGTTTTAAAAACAGGCAAATCTAATTTATATTTTTAAAAGACAAGATAGTGGTTACCCTTGGTGTATATAGGGGGTGGCCAGTGACTGGAAGGTAGCATGTGGGAGGCGAAAAGTAGGAGGGAAAAAAAAAAAAAAAAGGAAGGCAAGGGGAGAGGCTGGTTGGTTAGCTCAGTTGATTAGAGCATGGTGCTGATAACACCAAGATCCGGGGTTCGATTCCTGTACTGGCCAGCCATCCCCCCCCCTTCCCCCCCCCCCCCCCCAAAAAAAAAAAAAAAAAGGAAGGCAAGGGGAGAGGCTGGTTGGTTAGCTCAGTTGATTAGAGCATGGTGCTGATAACACCAAGATCCGGGGTTCGATTCCTGTACTGGCCAGCCATCCCCCCCCCTTCCCCCCCCCCCCCCCCAAAAAAAAAAAAAAAAAGGAAGGCAAGGGGAGAGGCTGGTTGGTTAGCTCAGTTGATTAGAGCATGGTGCTGATAACACCAAGATCCGGGGTTCGATTCCTGTACTGGCCAGCCATCCCCCCCCCTTCCCCCCCCCCCCCCCCAAAAAAAAAAAAAAAAAAAGAAAAGAAAAAAGAAGAAGACAAGGCAAGAGAAGCTATTTCAGGTTGATGGGAAACCCAAGGGCATGAAATAATATGGCTTAAAACGACAACTACAAATAGTTCTGTAGGTGTAGAAGCATATGTAGCTGCAGAGGAAGTGGGGAGGAACGCCACACGGAGCCAGATCCTGGTGGGCTAAGGTTCTTGTTCTCTATCCTGTAGGCTAGTGGCTTTAACAACTTCTCCTAGCCTGCAGGATAGAGAACAAGAACCTTAGCCCATCAGGATCTGGCTCCATCTGCCCTGTTGTGAGCAGAGGTCATTGTCAGGCAGATCAGTTTTAGGAAAGAGTACATATGGAAATTGAGGGTCTGAAAATGGATTCCCTTAAAACCATCTGTACATCCCTACCCCTTGGAAAATCTTTCTGTGCTACCCCTGTTTGAAGGCTACTGCCCAGAGGTTCCCTGAAGATGACTCAGAAGCTCTGTTTGAGAAGATGATAAGAGGCAGTGGGGTATCTGGGCTCACCACTGCTGCTTCATCTGGAGCAGTTGGATTTTTTTTTTTTTTCTTACATGTAAACTTTTATTTGAAGGAATGGTTTTGCTGCTAAAAATAACAACCCGAAAAATATAGCTTCTGGGGGCGGGGGGCATGTAAGCATTTTAAGCAGGTAAGTGACATAATTAGGTTTTTGTTTGAAAAGGTTGCTTTGGCATCTGAACACATCATGGACGCTGTATTGGAGGAAGGTGAAACTGGAGACCTAGAGAGAATTCAGAGAAAGAACTGGCAGCTCTGGGCTCCATTCCAGAGTGGTAGCATCCATTTTAGATGGACCAGGGGCTTCATGGTTTGCCAATCCCCACCCAGCCGCTTCTCCTATTTGCATTTCCTGCCTGGCCTATGAGGGCCTTTGCCTTTTGCGACCCCTGCCTTAGAATAATCTTTGACTCTTTCCTCTTAATCCTTAGATCCAGTCTACCACCACGTCCTGTTGTTTCATCCTTCAAATGATCTCAGATTTGTTTCTCTCTCTTCCTTACTATTCCATCATCCTACACTAGGCACTTAGCATTTCAGGCTTGGATTCCAGAAACTCTTAATTGCTCTTCCTGCTTTCAGTCTGTCTGCCAACCAACCCTACATTACCACTGCTTAGCTACTCTTATTTCTCAGAACATATTGTAGCACGTGCAAAATTTTGTCAAATTCTTCTTCAGACTTCTCCTCCTCTTCCCAGTCTTTGACTTCTCTAGAAAATTCTAAGCAGAGCAAAAAGATTAAAATGGGGATTAATAAATTTCCATTTTCTAGAAGCTGTGGTGATCATGTTTCCTTTGCTTATTTTTATGTGAGATATTTGTGGATTTATCAGGACTTAAAAGGAAACACCTTTCTCACCTGCCATTTGCCTCGTGCCACTTTTTCTCAACGAAAGATTTTGTGAAGAAAGTGGAATTTTATTTTACTATTATTATTTTTTTCCTTTTTGTCTTTTTTCGTGACCGGTAACGGGATCGCAACCCTCAGTTTCTCAGAACATATTGTAGCACGTGCAAAATTTTGTCAAATTCTTCTTCAGACTTCTCCTCCTCTTCCCAGTCTTTGACTTCTCTAGAAAATTCTAAGCAGAGCAAAAAGATTAAAATGGGGATTAATAAATTTCCATTTTCTAGAAGCTGTGGTGATCATGTTTCCTTTGCTTATTTTTATGTGAGATATTTGTGGATTTATCAGGACTTAAAAGGAAAGGAAACACCTTTCTCTCCTGCCATTTGCCTCGTGCCACTTTTTCTCAACGAAAGATTTTGTGAAGAAAGTGGAATTTTATTTTATTATTATTATTTTTTTCCTTTTTGTCTTTTTTCGTGACCGGTAACGGGATCGCAACCCTCAGTGTCGCGCCCGCACCGCGCTCAACCAGTGAGCGGACCGGTCTCTATATGGGATCCGAACCCTCGGCGGGAGCGCCGCCACACTCCCAAGTGCCACACTCTACTGAGTGCGCCACCGGGCCGGCCCAGAAAGTGGAATTTTAAATGGAGTGGGGCGGTAAGTAACTATTTGGGTTGGTAATAATGGTGAAGAGTGGTATTGAGAACATAGGGAAGAAGTATATGCACCTGGAAAGACAGGCCAAGTGTGGGAGAGCAGAGGAGACTGCTAGGACCTTCCTGGATACTCATAGAAGTGCTGGTCCAGGTTTGGATGGAGCAGATGGGTTAAATATGGTTCGCCTGGAGCTTGAATCATCAAGAAGATAAATGCACACGGTTGCTTTTCTTGACAATTCTTTTGTTGGGGGGGGGGGCAGCTGGTCTGTACAGGGATCTGAACCCTTGACCTTGGTGTTATAACACTGTGCTCTGACCAACTGAGCTAACTGGCCAGCCTGCTTCTCCTGACAATTCTTAAATTCCTCCCTTAGGAATCACTGGCTCTCTATGAAGCAATTTCCCTTGGAAAACTACTTGTCTGGACTGTGTTTTTACAGTTCATATTTTAGAACACATATCTGGATAGGTAAGTTGGAAGCTGGGATCTGACTTGAAAATATTTTAAATTTAAATCCTTTTTAACTCACAAAAGAAAAAGATGTGTGAATTCAGATTAAAACAAGGGTCAGGCAGCTCTTTGAGGATGTTTTATAGAAGGTCTTTGAGGAGGCTGAATATTTATGAGAAGCTGAACTGGACCCCAGGTCTAGAACCTCCTGTGCACAGCTGTGTGGTGAGGGAGGGGAACAGGAGGCGGAAGGGAGTGGACACATGAGCGGTAACAGTTTGACCTGTTTTCAGGATTCTGTCTCTCCCTCATTGGGGCTAAAAGAAAGAATACAGAGGGCTCGTTGGTTAGCTCACTGGTAGAGTGTGGTGCTGAAACATCAAAATCAAGGGTTCAGATCCCTGTACCTGCCAGCTGCCAAAAACAAACAAACAAACAAAGAATGCAGAATTTTAAGTCTTTCTTTGCTTTCTCTATGCTTTACTACGTTTTTCTTTTTACACTGCCTTTCCTTTCCCTTACTGAAATGTGTTGTGTAATGTATCTTTTCTGCCTTATTTGAGCTTGCTTTCCATGGCTGCTCTCTGCCCTCTGTTGGTAAGTTCTCTTGCACCTGTCTGTCTTGTGTGCCAGGGATAATCACATATACTCAAAGCCTTTTTCTGCTGGTCTGGTCAGCAGAGAGAATACTGGAAGATAGTTTGTTTGTCTGGAATCCTGCAGGCCTGGGAGGCATGGTCTGCTGTAGAACAAGCCTGAAAATTCAAATTGAGCTGCAAAATCAGGTCAGGTACAAAACTCTTCAGTGCTGTCAGTTTGGGGCAGCAGAATCTGTCATGGGGAATATCAATATGAGTCCAAATCCAGTGGTGGTCCTAGAACTCAGCTATGGTCTGGAGGGTCCTTTGGCCTGAGTGTAACTGGCGTTAGGTTTTCTTTCCACTAAGCAACAGGGCAGCTTGGAAACCACAGCAGCTTCTAAAAGCTGGTCAATTTGATGCTCTGCAGTTTAGTTCTGGATTAGAAATGAGGTGTTTGGGCTGACCTTGTCAAGAGGAAATTATAGGTTGTGTCTGTAGAGTAGCAGGAGGCCATAACAACCCTACAGAAGGAACCAATTTGATGCTCTGCAGTTTAGTTCTGGATTAGAAATGAGGTGTTTGGGCTGACCTTGTCCAGAGGAAATTATAGGTTGTGTCTGTAGAGTAGCAGGAGGCCATAACAACCCTACAGAAGGAAAGCTAGACCCTAGGTGAGTGCTGTTTAGGCCAGTAGAGTCTGTAGATTTCCCAGGCTGTGTATGAGTTACAGCAGGGTCGCCAAATACAGCCAAAACCTTACTGTCCATATCAGTAAGAGCAGTGATAGCTTGGATAATTGGAAATATAGATAACCAAAGTTCTCATTTAGCTAATATTTTCAGCCTCTCTCCCCAAAATGAAAAAACAAAATCAAAAACCTTTCACTGGACATTAATTAAAAAGTCTCACTGGGGGATTTAACTTTTGTCTCTCTGCCCCGTCCCACTTTTTAGTGAAAATAGCCAGTTGGAAGGAAGAGGAACGGTGCTTGAATGTTTAATCCCTACTTTAATGAAGAATTGTCTTTTATTTTTATATTTTAGTGGCTGGCTGGTACAGGGATTGAACCCCTGGACCTTGGTGTTAACAGAACCGTGCTCTAACCAACTGAGCTAACCGGCGAGCCCTGAGTTGTTAATATTCATAATAATAATATATCATGTACTTGAACTTATCTAGTAGTCTGAATAACAGTGGTGGCTGGTCTTCACTGGAGTTTGCAGGTGTTCCAGAGAGACTTGTCTGGGTCTTTGGTGGCCATTACACTGTAAACATGATTTCGTGCTGTCAGTCCTGTGAATCAGCAGAATATCTGTAAAGAGCTCCACTTTAGAGATCAGGAAACCTGTATTCTAGTCTCTGCTCTGCTATTAAAAAGCCGTGTGGGGTTAGGGGAGAGGAGCCGGAAAGAAAGCTGTGTGACTTCCTTCTCTGGGAATCAGTGTTCAATTATCTTTATTTATTTGTTTATTGCAGCTGGCCAGTACTCAATGATCTTTAAATGAGTGGATTGAAAAATGTATTTATAAGATTCTACCTAGCCCTGCCATTCTGTGATTCTTTCAGAGATGTTGTCATTTTGGATTTGTTTGTCTTATAAAGCTGTGTGTATTTGCTTAAAAGGCAACTATTTGTTTGACTCCGTCTAAAGTCTCTTTCAGGTTGTCCTGTCAATCTTTGGACTGTTCCATCCTTTGATTTGCTGAGATAGGATGAAATTCCTTTTCACCAACAGTCGGGGGCCAGGAACTAGAGTTACCATCCCTTCGTGTTAAAGAAGTGGCTGCTGTCCTAAGGCTTCCATTTCTACTGGGCTTGAGGCAAGAGACATGGTGGTGGGGGTGGGGGGATGCCATTGGCCTCTGTGCCCTAGGGAATCCAACTGTATGTTTCTCAAAGGTAAGGGCTGTATCATTTGGCTTTCTTTGTATTAACTCTTAACAGCTTGTGGAAGGCTGCCGGTATACAATAAATAAATACCGTGCCTAAGAATAAAATGGCATTGTCCTCAATTTCCCCCTTAAGACCACTAGGTGTCGCCTTCATCTCAGAGAAACTGTGCCCCTCCTCACCCTACACTCCCACCCCCTCCAGAGCTCAAGGAGCTCTCTTAGCTTTTGGCATCTTGATTTCTGTAGAAATGGCTTGAAGAGGGAGAGAAATTATGGCTCTTAGCCATGGGCTTATGTGCATGTCCCTTTATGACAGTTTGAGAAAAATCCCCAGGGTCCCATAGCAGTCCCTCCCAGCAACCATGATATCATCCCTCACAAGCTGTTCCTCAAGATCAGATCTGCACTCCAGATGTCGGGTTCCTAGGGAGCACTATCTAGGTTGGGAGCTTGAGAGCAGGGTGGACCCCAAGATGGGGTACAATGGGCTTCAATTGCTGGGGGGATGTTCTGCTTAGTCTATAAGCTTTTTTTTTTTTTACTCTATTAGCTTTTGTCAGGCGCTGACCTGTGCTGTACAGGGAGACAAAAGAAAGAAGAGGCCCTGGAACAGATGGTGTGGTGGAAGTTGGGTGGGCCGCTAAAGACATGGGGAAGGCACGAGAGGGGCATGGAGACAGGGAGAGGAGAGTGGAGGGTTGAGTCCCAGGGTAGGAAGATACTCATGGACTTTATAAGGACTCATGAAAAACGGAACGTGGAAGCCCCTTGGTGCTGCATGGGCCTGTCTTCCAGTGAGCAGGCATCTCTTCCTAGCAGGGGGAGACGTCCCTGGCAATTAGGAAGGTGGTATGGTTTACTAGGTGGGAGACTGGTGAGGATACGAAATGTTTGGGGATTCCTGGAGACTGGAGCGATTGAGGGACTCAGGGAGTTAAGAGAGGGGATCCTAAGAAAAGCAGGATAAGAGAGTGGGGAGTAGACAGGCTCTGGGGTCGCTGGAATGTCTGAGATGGAAAGAGAGCGGCGGGTGGACCAGGGGCTTGAGGGGAGACGGGGGTAGGCCCTTAAAATAAGGGGACCTCGCCGGCCTGCGAGGCTCTTGTGCGGAGCCCCCAAGTGCTCCCTGGCGGAGCCTGAGAACTGGGAGGTCCCCGGGCGCCCAGCTGGGGGGAGACAGCAGGCGCCGGAGGGTGGGGCCGGGAGGGGGAGGAGGAGAGGCGCGGGGGAGA